GTAGGGTCTAGAACCGATTAACCGCGATAAACGAGGGTTCACTGTATATCACTCACTCACTCACTCACTCACTCACTCACTCACTCACTCACTGCCATAGAGCTGATAGTGATGCTAGAGGACAGAGTAGAACTGCTTCCATGAATTTCTGAGACTGTAAATCTTTAAGGGAGAAAAAAGTGTCATCTTCCAGTAATTGGTGGTTTTGAACTGCTAACCTGTTACATGTTAGCAGCTCAAGATGTAACACACCATGCCACCAGAGTGCTGTGCGTGTGTGTGTGTGTGTGTGTGTGTGTGTGTGTGTGTGTGAGCATGTGCGTTACATCGAGAAAATGGTTGACACAGTTGTAGAAGCAGGGAAGTTCAATCTGAGTCTAGTCAGGCTCCAGGTTCATGGATCAGATGTTAGGTGAAGATCACAGGGAATCCACAGGCTGGTAGCTGCAGAGGCAGGTGAATCCAAGGTCAGCAGTTCAGGCTTGTGACTAGAGAAGTGAATTAATCCCCCAACACTGGCAGGCCAGATGGCAGGTAGTAAGGCAGGCTGTTGGCTCAAGTCCAAAGAACTGAAGGTCCACAAGCCAGATGCAGGATACAGACCCAGCAAAAAGTAAACCAGCTTTTCCACAGTGTCCACTTATATAGGAAGTACTCTACACTGCAGAGGAAACTTCCTTTCAGTTGCATCAAAGGTCTGAGCTGAGTGAGGGGGTTATATCTCCCCTAATTATTTTACAAGAAGATGCTGTTATAGATTTAATTATATTGTAATTAAGTCACACTATAGGGGATTATTAGGCCTTAACTGCCAAATCACTGAGAATTCTGGCTTAGCCAAGTTGACACAAAACCTTATACTCCTTATTTTAAAATACAACCTCTCCTCGTGTATCAGCATGGTTAGGTTCCAAAGACCAGGTTATAATACTACTAAAGACAAGACCATGCTAAAATGCATTTGGAAATATCCTCTCACTTTATTTAAGTTAACTTTAGTTAGTCTCACACAAACTAAATCAGACCCTGTTTAACCTCCAGCTAGTTAAGTGAAGAGATGAGGTCCTTCATAACAACATGAGCCCACATAGGTAGCGTGGCAATTTGGTTTCTACATAAAAATTTAGGACACATAATTGTCCTATTTTTAGATACATGCATCTGCCTGGAGGAATGTTTGAATATTAAAACAGTTAACTTTCCATATCATTTAAAAAAACAGTTACCTCACATATCATACAACTTAATCATTCAATCATATTAACAGTTGTGCAATCATCGCCATAATTTTATAACATTTTCTGCTCATACTCATAGTTGTTACTTCCCCATTCCACCTCCTCGATCCTCCACCCAGCTTCCCCTGCCATGCCCCTATCCAGTTATTGTTTCTGTAGATCTACCTATGCTGTATTTCATATACAGAAAACCATACAAAACAAAACACAATCATACAAAGCAACCAAACAAAGAAAAGGGAAACCCTGGCGACAATGTGGATGGCCCACTGGGACAACGGGATCAAAGAGTAGAATCAGTAATGCTCTGGAGAATGTGGGCTTGGTGTCTTTAAAGTAACTAAATCTTCTTGCATAGTGTCAAGAAGTTCTTATACCAAATCCTACTCTCCACAAAGCAGTATCAGTATGCAATGTCTTGGATTGCCCAGAATACTGCCAGTGAAAATGCAGAATAATGTAAAATGCTAACAATGCTTGGCTGTTGTTGTTTGCTATGGGCCAGCGCTGACTCAATGACAGTGGGAGCCCTGGGGGGCGGGGGGGGGCATCAGGTGAGCACTGGGCTGCTTCCAGGTTGGCAGCTTGGACTCACCCAGCTGTTCCTGGAGAGAAAGCTGAGGCTAGCTGCTCTTGGGACCACTGACGTCTTGGCAACCCTGTCTATGGCCACTCGGTGGGAGTCGACTGGATGGCAGTGGGTACCCTCCCTACACTGAGCTTCTTGATGGCAGAGGCTGCATCTGTCTCACCTTGAGGCAGCACAGAGAGACCTCTTCAGTGGTTTGACTCTAATCAGAATAGAGGAAGCCTCAGGAACCCTAACGCCACCTTGACGATGCTGATGTTATCAGCCACCAATTACGAAGCACTTTCTTCTCCCAGATATTATTCCAAATGCTTTAAAAGCAACAGTTCCTCTTCTCAGCACTGTTGGAGAAAGTACTGTCCTTCCCCTCATTTTACAGATGAGGAAATTGACTCACAAGGGCTGGACAGCTAGGAAGTGAGAGTTCAGATGTGAACCCTGGCAATGGGACTCTGACACCCATGCTCTTTGCCCCTCACAACCCCTCATTCTTGGTCAGAGGCAGTCATTCAACTGTGAATGGAGGGGGCACATTGCAGGACCGCCCGCGAGTGACCTGTGACCAGCAGTGGGATTCAGCCAGTTCACACCGTTTTGGCAGAACTGATACCTAATTTTTTTTGTTGAATCAGGAGAACAGGTTAAAATGGCACTTGCAATAAGTGTTCTCTCTAAGGTGGGTGGCTGGGCAGCTGCCAATGTGGAAATCACAAACAAATTCTTTACTCTTTTTCAATGTTCATCTGCGCAACAGCACATGCTAAGCACCCATAGCAATTAATGCTCATTGGGTCCATAGGTATAAAAAATTAGACAAAAATATGCTTGTAATATTTGATTCATTTCATAAAACGATATACTTTTGATGATGAAAGTACCTCATTTTCACTCCCTTGTGCTTGTTACTTCACTACGAAGTATAAAGTAAAAGGAAGCACCAGACAACCAGAAGGGGGCACGCTGTTACTCATTTCAGCTTTGTGTCACCCTCCAAATTCCCATAAGATATTATGAGTGAATTGAGTCAATTCCTGAAAGTGTTCAAAGAGCTAAAAACATTGTCAGAACAATTGTCGTACGTTTAGCAGACATGGAAAGGGGTTTTTCAAAGATGAACATAGTATGTTCCAAAAAGAGAAGCCGCCTGTGTCTAATACAGCAAGCACAACGGCTATTTTCTAGTTCGCCTACCTCTACCGGAATGCGATCCTCCTTCTACAGTGAAAAGATGGTTAAGGATACGTCACACAGCCGACGATGCTCGGAGAAAAGCAAAGACAATGGTAATTGAGGACACCCATTAAGAAGCTATGTGGCAATATCTTAAATAACACTTTCCTTGTTTTTAGTCAGGTATCATTTTACATTTCTTCATTAATATTTTAAAACTCTTATCATCTACTTTTGTGTACCTCTTTTATTGTTCTTATTTAATTGTTAACTTATTGAAATAATAAACTATCTTTTGGTATATCATTTTTAAAAATGCCTAAAGTGGTCATTAGAACAACAATCCAGTTGTTAAGTTATTTGAATCCCACCACTGCCTCTGACTTATGACCTCTAGAAATCCTGGCCACTTTCCTGCTGCATCTCGGTCACTGCAGCTGTAGTGGAATAGTGCCTGGCTGGTCATCACTCCAACGATACAGTCCTTGCTGGGCTCGTCAGGGTTGGCTTGATGGCAGCAAGCAACACGAAGGAAGCAGGGTTGTGCAGTTGAAGGGCATTGACCTTTCTCCCTGTGTATGCTTCGTGCATGCAAGAACACTGGGAGACAGGCCAGGGACTTCCCCAGGCTCCCTGACAGCCCAAAGAGCAGAGGATGTCACTAGTTAGGAATTCATTCAAAATACTGTCAAATGTTAACAGTGGTTTGTAAAAGGACAGGTCAATCTACTTACAGTTTTTCTTTTTTTCTTTGTGTTTTTCTGTCTCTGGCTTGGGTCTTGCATTAACACGTTAAATTGAAAGAAAAAAAAAAGAATGGGGGGAAAAGGATTATGTAAGTAAAGTGGCACTTATGACAATTGACCATGTGTTTTACAGACATGTCTCTAGCTGGTGATTGTGTAACTTAGTGCTTAAGAGCAGAAGCTAAATAAATAGATAGATAGATAGATAGATAGATAGATAGATAGATAGATAGATAAATAAATAAGTAAATAAAGAGCAGACGCTCTGGAGCCAGACTGCTGGGACACAGAGGCCTTTGCAACTAACTAACCGGGTAACTTTGGGCCAGTTCTTCTGCCTCCCTCAGCTTCCATTTCCACGGCCTTCCGTACAGGTGGTTGCATGGGTTTGATGGGCAAAGGATGCAAAACAGAATCTGGAACAGAATAAACACAGTGAATGTCCATTTCGTGTTTACTACCACCTTTCTCTGTCCCCTGACAGCAATGTTCACGTAATAACTCTATTGCCCTTAACAGTGCTTGAAATATCACATCATTGTGAAATGAGGGGGAGTGCAGAGTGGAGACCCAAAGCCCATCTGTAGGCAACTGGACCAGTCAGGGTTCAGTATAGCACCAATGAAACATACAATTTTCCTCTAGTTCTTTAATGCTTCTTTCTCCCATACCCCCATCATGATCCCAATTCTACCTTACAAATCCAGCTAAACCAGAGGGTGTACACAGGTACAGATAAGAGCTGGAAACACAGGGAATCCAGGACAGATAAACCCCACAGGACCAATAATAAGAGTAGTGATACCAGGAGGATAAGGGGAAGGTGTGGGGAGAAAGAGGGAACTGATTACAATGATCTACATATAACCCCCTCTCTAGGGGACAGACACAGAAAAGTGGATGAAGGGAGATATCGGACAGTGTAAGACATGAACAAATAAAAATAATTTATAAATTATCAAGGGTTCATGAGGGGGGGAGGGAGGGAGGGAGAGAGAAGGGGAAAATGAGGAGCTGATACCAAGGGCTCAAGTAGAAAGAAAATGTTTTGAGAATGATGATGACAACAAATGTACAAATGTGCTTGACACAATGGATGGATGGATGGCTTGTGATGAGTTGTACGAGCCCCAAATAAAATGATCTAAAAAATAGTACTTGAAATACATATATTAAATGATTAAAATGAAATGCTGATATGCTTTGCATTTTTGTACATCAAATATTGCCTTTAAGTTCATAGTACAGCAAAAATAGTAGAAGTAGGAACTTCAGTAAGACTGAAACCTGTCAGAGAAAGAAATCACACTGTTTTAAAGATGAAAAACTAAAGTACAGAGATGTTAATGATCTGCCCCTGAGCAATCTGTGTTGTTTCCAGGTGCAGTTAGATCCTTCCTGACCCACAGTACAACAGCACGAAGCCCTACCCAGTCCCGCTCCGCCCTCACAGTTGTGACAATGCAGAGCTAGCTCCTTGGGGCAGACCATCTTGGTGAGGGCCTTTTTCACTGGCCCTTTGCTTGACGAAGCAAGTAACATCCTTCTCCAGGGACGGGTCCCTCCTGACAGCATGTCTAAAGTACAGGAGACAAAGCCCCATCCTCGATTTTAAGAAACAACCGGGCTATACTTCTTCCAAGACATATGTGTCCTATCCTTCAGGCAGTCGGTCTATATTCAATAATCTTTGCCAACGCCAGAATTCCAATCATCAATTCTTCTTCATGCTGCCTTTTTCGGATTTTGCGTGCACGAACGGTGACTGAAGATCCCCTGGGTTGGGCCAGGTGCACTCTAGTCCTCAAAGTGACATCTCTGCTCTGCCCCATTGTCAAGAGGTCCTTTGCAGCAAATTTGCCTCATGCAATATGCCATTTGATTGCTGGTTCTATGGATGTTAACTGAATTCAAGTAAGATAAAATCTTTGACCATTGTAATCTTTTCTCCGTTTATCATGATGTTGCTTATTGGCCCAGTTGTGAAGATTTTTGTTTTCTTTATGTTGAGTCTTGTACAAGACAATGATTGCCTAGATCTACAGAGTCAGTTTGGGGGAAGTAGGGAAGGGATCCCTACTTCACTGATGTTTTCTAGTACTCGATAGAATAATTTCATCTTTCCAAAGAATAGTTGGGAATAATAAAGTAAGGTACTGGCTCTTCTATCAGATATTCTGTCTATCAAATATACTCCAAAAGATTCTTCCCTGGTTAGAACAATCCAAAGGATATTAGACGGAATGTTTTGTGGGTAACAAATATGAGTACCCAAGTATCTTGACACGCCCCCCCCATGTCTTACTACTTTGAATATGATTCCAAATTGTCAAGTTTTCTTTTAGAATAAATATGTCCATTTAACCCTTTTTTGTGGTATTTGAAATATAAGTTTGTGGAGCTGATAACTTGCATTCCAAAATACTTTCCTGTTCTCCCACTTATGTTTACTATTGTGTGGAACATCATCCATACGTGTAATTAATTGTAACCCTGGGAAAAATCCTTCATTTTACTACATTACTCTATTCAAGATAAGCCAAATTTCTGCTTTGGAGATTTTGTTCTAAAAACAGAAAGGAAAAGAAAAAATAAACCAACCGAATCAGCTGCATAAGACCTATTTAAAATATTAAAGAGAAAAGTTGTCTTCATAACGATGTCACTGAATAATTCTCTGAATTAGAAAGACCTTTGTACTCGATGGATCAAAGCGGTGTCCAAAAAGTTGGGAAACACAGATACATTGCAAGTGGCAGGTGTAAATTATATTGTAAAACATGAAAATCACAAAAGCTAATTTCCAGTTTTATGGCCAATTGTATTTCACTTTGCTTGATTTTTCTCTGAGACTGTCATTTCATAGGATTTCCACATCAATAAACATAATACAGCATAGTATAATTTACCTTTCAAAAGGAGGATTTAATCATTGTTCTTTTATTTGAGTTTCTGTTCCCAGGAACATTGAAAATGTATTTGGAAATTATAATAATATAAATACAAATCATGACTTACCTACATATCCAACGGGGGTTGCCTTTTCAAATGTCTTGTTGAAGCCACGCTCCTCATTCTGAAATGAAAGCAGGGCAGAGACACCAAGCAGGAAAATGTAAACAGCAACATAGTTTTAAAATTTGGCATTGCTGTGGCTGTAAGTAACAACAACATGAGAGTCAAAGTCATTATTTTGGTTTCATTTTGTGCAAAGAAAAGAATTCCTGTATAACGTAACCAGTCCTCATGGGGAGTGGTCCGACAACACAAATGGCTGAGCCGTTGCTTTGGTAGGTAGTTAACGTAGGAAAAGACAGGCATCCGCAGAAGACACACCATATTAATTTGTATCCCACTGGCTTCTTTTCATTTTTTAAGCCCAGGAAACAAAAATATTAATTGCAAGCATAAAATGAAAATAGTATCCACATCAAAAATATCACATCGCAAAAGAGCAGAGGGGTCACAAGATAGAAAATAGTAAAAGTAGTGTACATATAGACTAGTTCTCTTCATTGAAACAGCCATACGTGGACAAAGACAAACAAAAGAAAATTTTCAGAACTCTAGAATCCAATCTAATCCAAAATTTACACCCACCAGGGATTGCATAATGAAGAGCAGGCTAATGACAGTGTTGAAGGTCCCTGGTGGCCAGTGACAGAGCAGAACAGAGATATAAGCGATCATACATAACAAGGAGTGTAGTTTTTATGCCCCCTGCAAAAAAAGTTTGAAAAAAATCACTACCATTAGTGAGTGAGGGGGGGAATGCAGAGTGGAGACCCTAAGCCCATTTGTAGGCCACTGGAGATCCCCTTGCAGAGGGGTCTGGGGAGGAGGTGAGCCTGTTAGGGTGCGATATAGCAACGATGAAAAAGACAACTTTCCTCTAGTTCCTAAATGCTTCCTCCACCCCACACCCCACTATCATGATCTGAATTCTACCTTGCAAGTCTGGCTAGACCAGAGGATGTACACTGGTACAGATAGGAACTGGAAATTTAGGGAATCCAGGGCGGATGAGCCCTACAGGACCAGTGGTGTGAGTGGCGATACTGGGAGGGTAGAGGGAGAGTGGGTGGAAAGAGGGAACCGATTACAAGTATCTATATGTGACCTCCTCCATGGGGGAAGGACAACAGAAAAGTGGGTGAAGGAAGCCATCAGTGTAAGATATGATAAAATAACAATAAATAAACTATCAAGGGCTCATGAGGGAGGTGGGAGTGGGCAGGGACAGGGGAAAATGAGAACCTGATGCAGGGGGCTTAAGTGGAGAACAAATGTTTTGAGAATGACGAGGGCAATGAATGTACAAATGTATTTTACACAATTGATGTGTGTATGGATTGTGATGAGTCGTATGAACCCCTAATAAAACGATTAAAAAAAATCACTACCAACAGACAACTTCCGCCCTCAACAACAGCAAACTATGGTGAAAGAAAGAAATCTGATTTCCAGAGATACCACATTATAATGTGCAACAAGACTTATTTAATTAGATAACTTTCAACACAAGTATATTGCCTACAGGGGCACATAGGTAATAAGCCAGTTATCCTTTGGGGGAACTTTCGGAAGCAAGTACAGCATCCGGAGGTGTGTCCACAGTCTTCTGAGGACGACACAATCTACCAGTGGTGTCTCCTACCCTGAGGTTTTCTTATGAGCATGCCTCAGGTGCAGCAAGAGTTGGATAATTAAAAAGGAACACGGAAGAGCTGATGCCTCCCAATAGTGGCACTGGTGAAAAATACTGAATATACAGTGAATGGCCAGAAGAATGAACAATTTAATATTTGAATACAACCAGAATGCTCCCTAGAAGTCAGGATGGCAACTTTGTCACACTTACTTTGCACAAGTCATCAAGAAGGGCCAATCACTAGAAAAGACTGAACATCGTGCTTGGTATAGAGAGTCGGTGAAAATGAGGAATCCCTCAATGAAATGGATTGACACAAGTCATGACCATGGTCTTAAACATCCCAACAATCATGAAGATGGCTCAGAACTAGGCAGTGTTTTGTTCTGTTGTACATTGGTTACCTGAGCCAACGCCCACTTGATGGCAACTAACAACAACATAAAGATCACAGATTGCCATTGTTTGGGTAAAGAGGTGAGTTTCTGCCTGTATTTCACACAAGAAGTCACTCACACATAGTGCCCTTGGAAAGTATCATAATTGCTGGACCTCCCAAGTAGGGTCTATATTAATAAGTAAGGGGAAAAAATGAACAGTGTTCCCCAATGTGACCTCTTAGCCAAATAATGAGCTTTAGAGTTCCCAGCTCAATTTGAGAGAATGAAGAATCTAATCCTTGTTTGGGGGAGAACTATCTATGGATTGCAACTCAAGGTAAAAAAAAATAATAATAACCCCCAAAACAAAAATCCTTACAAATGGACCAATAGAAAGCATCATGAGAAATGGAGAAAAGATGAAAGCTGTTGAGAATTTCCATTTTGGGGGGTATCCACAATAAACAAGCATGCGACCCACAGGTCCCCTGGTATTAAAGGCAGCAAAAAATAAATAAATAAACAAGCATGCATGCAGCAGTTAAGAAATCAAACAAAAACAAGCTGTTGAAGACCTCTGTAAAGTATAAAGGAGCGAAGAAGTCACGGAGGATCAAAGTGCACCCAACCCGAGCCATCGTATCTGCAGTCGCCTCATATGCATGTGAAAACTGGATCGTGAAATAGATCTCATGCTCAGTGACGCGAAGGGCAATGAACAAAGGAAGCCCCTCATTGTGACGGCACTGACACCGTGGCTGCAGCAATGGGCTGACGTGCAGGGACAATTGTGAAGCTGGTGCAGGACCCAGTGGTGTTTGATTCTGAACTGACTCAATAGCACCTGACAACAACCTACAGGAATCCAATGTGTTCTGTTCTTTGTCCCCAGCTAAGAGCCCTACCTGGTCCCAGAGAATGACAGAGGGACAGCAATGGCAATGGAGTTGAAAAGCACATTTGAGAAGACGACAGATGTTTCACATGGGATTGCAAATGTGAGGGCTATCCCCTGCTGTAGCTGATAGACTTCATGTTAAGGGGAATTTTAAAAAATCATTTTTATTGGGGGCTCATACAGCTCTTATCACAATCCATAGATCCATCCATTGTGTCAAGCACATTTGTACATTTGCTGCCATCATCATTTTCTTATTTTTAACTTGACAAATTAGTATCACTTTAGCATTCTTTACTTGACATTGCGCTAAAATTAGGGATTTAGATGGTGTGAGAAGAGATCGACAATATTTCACTTATGCCTTTGATGAAAGAAGTAGCACATTTTCCATTTATTTTGCTTGACTAACTTTTAGAGATGAACATGGATGATGTATATACTACTCTTTTATTTTGTTTTGTTTTGATCTTTTTAAAAAATCATTTTAAGGGCTCATACAACTCTTATCACAATCTATACATAACATCAATTGTGTAAAAAACATTTGTACATTCATTGCCCTCATCATTCTCAAAACATTTGCCCTCTACTTAAGCCCCTGGCATCAGCTCCTCTTTTTCCCCTCCCTC